TGGTGGTACTTAGTATTGGATTTGATTGGATAACTCCCTATATTTAAAGCATGTTTAAGATAAAAATGAAATTTTTTTTCCCAAGTTGAAGGTATAAAATGGATTTAAAGATGGATTACTCATAAAAAACTTATCCCATCTAATCTCTACAAAATGGTAGGATAGCAACAATTTATAACTAATTCCTCTTAATCCCCTCAAAATGGAAAAACATTCACCTCTATCTTCATTTTCTCCTTCAATATATCTAGAAATTAGTGACTTATCCAATTCAATATTGATGGTAAAAAAGAAAAAGGAGAAAAAATATTTTCACGTCAAAGATGTCCCTTTTTTAAAATCTGTTTCCATAAAAGTTTTTTGTCAAAATGAAAATAAGAAATGAATTCGTATTTTTTTTTTAAACCAACACATTTTGAATAAATTATTTTTTATATTAACAAAAAAATGTTCTTTTGATTTGAGCAACACCAAAATTAGACGAAAATGGGGACTTGCCGGCCGAGTGCCGGCCCACTGAAGAGACGACCACAATCTCCGTTTCGCAGCTACCAGGTCGGTAGCCTTATCAGGTATGGGTTAATTTCCGATCGTTCAACCCCCCCAATTCTACGCCCTTGCTGATTCCAATTTCTCTACTTCCTTTTTGAAATTCTTCAGCTTCACCATCTGAAGCTCTTTCAGTACTGCTCGTGTCTTCGTCCCCAAGGTTGGAACAGAGGCTTTCGTCTTCAATAAACTTTAGGTAAAGCCCATTTATTGCTGCTAGTTTAGGTCTTTTTCTTTTACTCTACAATTTTTTTTTTTTTGGGTAATTGATAACTTTGGAAGATTTTGAATTCTATTGAGAGGAAAAGCTGCAAACTTTCACAGAGCATTTTCTGGTTTCGTTAACCTACAGGACGGCTTTGAGGGTTAGTTGCACATAATGCCGTCTTTTATAAAACACACACACACACACACACATATATATATATATATATATAATTTTACAAACAATATTAAACTTTTTGATATTGAATAAAATTTAACAAATGGTCTGTAGGTTGTTTTCTAATTTATGGCAATTTTTTGTTGTTGTTTTAGATCTTCTATTAATGACTCAAAGATAGTACAACTTGGCAAATTTATATTCCAAATTAGAAGCATATAGAGATTTAACGGTCTTGGGTTTTGTACTGTCGACGTCATATATTTACGTAGTGTTTTTGTGTCTTTTATCTTAATAGGTGTAAGATGCTATTACAAAAACAAAAGGACAACAAGTATCATGGAACCTAAGCGCAAGTTATTGGCAACTACAAGTTCTCAGGCTCAAGGAGCTTGTCCTGACCATATGAAAGATAGATTTAGTGATCTGCCCAATGAAGTTGCTCATCAAATTCTTTCATCAGTTTCTATATTGGATCTCACTCGTTTTGGCACTTTATCCAAAAAGTGCAGAGAACTTTTTCTGTCAATGCCCTCATTGAATTTTGATGAATTTAACAACTGGAATAAATCCTCTTATGCTAAGCAATTCAAGTTGTTGAGTTCTTTAGATAGGTTCTTGGTTCGTCGTAGGGAGAATAAGATACAATGCTTTCGTATTTGTTGGAGTCTCAGTTACGGAAAAGCTGCAAGTCTCTATAACGAGCTTTACTGATTAGTCACGTGGATCCATATGGCAGTAAGGTGTAATGTTGAAGTGCTTGATCTTGAGTTGAGGATACTGATACGACGATGCTAGAGTTGCCATCTTGCATCTTTCTTTGTGGATCTTTGAGGTCTCTATCAGTGCACTGCAATAAAATTCTTACAGCGCCCTCCTTGGTTAGTTCCACTAATCTCCAGTACTTAAAGTTGACAAATGTTACGATAGATGAGGGGTTTTGCAAATGGATCTCGTGTTCTTGCAAATGCATTAAGGAATTGCATCTTGAACATGTTGAAGTAGAAAATATCACCATGGAAAGCTCGTCGTTGGAATCTTTTAGTTTTGTGTTTCCCTCTTATTGTGGCCTCTGTCATCTTAATATCTCTTTTGAGAAACTTGAAGACATACATATAGAGTGGAGATTTGCTTCTACTAGCAGCAGATCTTTCAAAGTTTTTGCTCCAAATCTTAAATATTTGAAATGGATTGGGAATTTGTTGAATAACCAAAATCTGGGGAAACTAATGTGTCTAGAGAAGGCTGAGATTTTTCTGAAGCATGGGGTAGATAACAATGACTTCAGCAATGTAGTTGAGGTTCTTTGCAGTGTACGCAGGGCTAAAGTCCTTATTCTAAGTGGAGAGATGACTAAGGTAAAAATTCAGACAGAAACTCTCTTGTAGCAAAAACATGATGCCTTGCGATATGAACTTATGGTAGATTATGTGTTTTCTGGAATCTTTTGAAGGATATTGCAGGGAACATATCTTCACTATGAGTCTACAGTGTGGCAATAGTAGGGATGGCTAATTTATGTTTCATAAACTTAAAAGTTTTTTCAAAACCGAGTGATGGAATTACATGGATGATATTTCATATTGGTGCTGCAAGTTTTATTTGAAATCAATGCATGAACTTATCAGTCTGCAAAAAATACAAAATTGGAAATTAAAAAAGGGTCATTCGATACTTTATTTTTTTATTTATTTTTATTTTTTTATGTCTTAAGGAGTGAAAGGATTGAGGGAGTCGACAGGTGGGAGGCTGAGAGGAGGGAGAATAGATTGAACTTAAATGATTTTTTTAAATACTATTTAAGATTGATTTATTTTTTTGATTTCCCACTTTGCTCCCGTCTCTTCTTTGGTTAAAAAACAGAAGGTGAACATAACCGAAAGCATAAAATAATAATAACTTTTTGAACAATGATCATTTTGTAGATTATTGAAATTGATTGCAATTAGCTCAATTGTGTGAATCTTTTTTCATTATAGTGTTCTGGGTGCTCACACTTGTTTCATTCAAGAGTTTGCCTCTCATCTATATAATATTGCAGGCTCTGTTGAGGGAAGGTCCTGTGTCTACACCATTTGGTGATATTTCTTACCTGGGTATGCATGTTGAGAGCTTGGATGATGACATAGTCCCGGCAATGGTCTCTCTTCTGAGAGGAATGCCCAATTTGAAAACTTTGTACATAATGTCTGACCCTTCCTTATTCATCCATAAACCTGAAGTAAGAGTTCAAGTCTGTTACCTCTCTCTCTCTCTCTCTCTCACACACACACACACACACACACACACACACACACACACACACACACACACACACACACACACACACACACACACACACACACAAGTCCACAACACTCAAATGAGGAGTGTATTGATCTGGGTCAAAAAAACTAAAAATAGTTGTGCTCTGAGAAATGTTATCTTTAGAGCTTAAATTATTGTATACTGAGCGATGTATAACCCTATTCTGCAGAAGGGATAATCATCATAAGTAGGTAGTGCAGTTCTGAGAGTAACATTTGCTCTCTATAATTTTTTATTTATTGATTTGGTTGTTTCCTTTCCAGGCGTGTGGATTTAATAAGGAATTCTGGAAATCTCAAAACTTGGCTTTTATTGATCAGCTTAAGGAGGCAACAATAGAGCATTCTAATGGGAACAATGAACTGGAGCTAGGAAGATATATGCTTGAGGATGCTAAGAACTTGAAGGAAATGATCTTACTTTATTCACCCCAGCAATCAACTCATATTCGAGTGGTAAATGAAAGTAAGATGAATTCTGTTGCCACTGCCAGAGTTGTCTTTCAGGAAAAACAAAGGAAATGGACAGGGGGGGAAAATGAAGGTTGAAGAATTTTTTGAAGAATTTATTTGTGTCTTCAAAACCTTATTCTGGATGTCAATGGATGCAACGGCTGTGTTTATCTGTTATGATAGAACCCTAATCTTGTAATAATGTAGTTTTTAATGCTGAAACCCAAAAATAGAGCCTTTTCTTATGTTTATGATTCTTACAACATTCTTAAGTCTTTAATATTGAAACCCAAAAATAATTTGGCACGCTTGTCTCCTTAAAATCTTGCACAAAAAAACCAAAAAACTACTAAAACATAAACACAATTATATCCAGATTAGGGATTTAAAGTGGTGAAATGGTAGTAGACTCATAGTGTCGTACTCGTATTATTTACATAATTTTGTTTTTGTGTCCTTCATCTTTGCAGGTGTAAAAGAAATCTGTAGTGTCATGGAACACAAGCATAAGTTCTTGGCTACTGCAAGTTCTCAAGCTCAAGTACCTTATCCTGAGAGTATAATAGACAGGTTTAGTAATCTTCCAGATGAAGTTGCTCATCATATTCTTTCTTTTTTCAATTTTGAAAAACTCATTCAAGTAGGCAGCGTGTCTAAAAGATTCAGAGGGCTTTATCTCTCATCCCCGTCATTGGATTTTCGGTCATCGTAGTCAGACAAGCAGGAGCAATTAAACATGCTGAATTCTTTCGATAGGTTCTTGGTTCATCGTGGGGATAGTAAGATACCAAACTTTCATATACATTTGGATCTATGTTCAAGCTTCCATGATGAGATGTTCTGGGCGATCACATGGATCCGCATTGCAGCAAGGTGTAATGTTTAAGTGCTTGATCTTCAGTTACTTATACTTAAAACAGATATGGATATGATGAAATTGCCATCTTGCATCTTTCTTTGTGGATCTTTGAGGTCTCTATTGGTGAACGTGTACAAGATTTCAAGTGCCCTCCTTTTCTGAGTTTGGTACAAGTAGTAGATCAAGATATGCAACAGGTAAGGAAGAACTCTTGAACCTGATGTGCTGTGTTTTGTTAGACAGAGGATTAACCTGGTGATTTGTTAGACAGAGCCTTATACAAGGCAAAACTGTTTTTTTTTTTTTTTTTTCTGGTGTGATAGTTGGACTGTTGGAGGTCCATTTTCTTCAACCCATTCCCAATCAGCTTGAATTGTTTATTCTACAAGCAAACCAAGCTCGAATGACCCAAACAAAGAAATCAAGCCCAATACCAGCTCCAGCAGATAACAAAATATTCAAATTTATAGCACAACTTAAACGTTACACAGTTAAAATATAAAGAGTAATATATAATTAAGTATTAACAAGAAAACAGTGAGGATAATTGAGTTCTGCAATGCGGAGTAGCGTAGACGGCCATAGTTGGTAAGCAATATCTGATCTGCAAATATCCCGTGGATGAAGTAGATCACAAAAAAAGAAAAAATAAACACATGATTTCACCCTAAAACAATATAACCTGCTACAAGTAAACAAAGTAGAGATATGTCAAATTGATATCATTATATGCTATTTCAGCGGTAGCAAGGGATATAGATTATTATTTCTTACCTCATCTCTTAGTTCTCTGAATTCGCTCAGAGTAGTTTGGTTTGTCACGGTTGATTATGATCTCCTTCTTTTGGCCAGTGGACTTATCGACAGCAGAGACACTCAAGATGCCATCAGGATCAATTTCAAATAAAACTTCGCATTTATGAACACGTTTGGGAGCTGGAGGAATGTCGAGGATGGTGCATTCAGCCAAATGGTTGAGATTTGCTGGTATGCTACTCTCACTCTCCCATACGTGAAATTTGAGCGAAGCTTGGTCATCCGTAGAAGTGAGCAACGTTAGTATCTTCTTCTCGGGAATTAGAGAGTTTCTTGGAATCAACTTTATGATCTTATTATCTGCAACCTCCACACCAAGTGTCAGAGGAGTGACGTCCTTGAGAGTGTAGTCCTGAAAAAACTCCCCCTTTCCATTCCCAGTCAAGGCTGCTGCTTGAACCGCGGCGCCATATGCCACTGCCTCATCCGGATTAACGCCCTTGCACAGCTCCTTCCCCTTGAAAAATTCCCGCAATAGCTGTTGCACCATGGGAATTCTAGTAGAGCCACCAGCAAGAACAACATCGTCGACACGGCTTACATCCATGTTAGCATCCTTTAAGCACTTCTTCACAGGCTCCATACACTTGGTAAATAATTCCCCGTTTAGTTGTTCAAATATGGCACGAGTAAAAGTTATGGCGAAATCAGTATTTTCACACAAACAGTCAATTTCAACATCAATGTCAGACTCAAATGAGAGTCTTTTCTTTGCCTTCTCACATTCATTTTTTAACCTCCTAAGAGCTCTCTTGTTTCCACTAACGTCCAATTTATGCTCCCTCTTGAATTCCTCAACACAGTAGTTCACCAATCTATTATCGAAGTCTTGGCCGCCAAGGTGAGTGTCTCCAGCCGTTGCCTTGACTTTAAAGTCACCAGAACTGCTCATGGTAAGCAATGACACATCTAAAGTGCCACCACCCAAATCAAATATCATCACGTTTCTTGGGCTACTCCAACCGGCCTTCTTGTTAAGGCCATAATCAATGGCAGCAGCACTTGGTTCATTCATAATACGCAACACATTTAGGCCAGCAGAGATGCCTGCATCTTTTGTAGCTCGGCGCTGCGAGTCATTGAAGTAAGCAGGGACCGTGATAACTGCATTTTTCACAGTTGAGCCCAAGTGGGTCTCGGCAATCTTCCTCATCTTTACCAGAACCATGGATGAGATATCTTCAGCAGAACATTGTTTCTCTTGGCCATTGTGGGTGACCACAATCACGGGCTTGTCACCTGGACCTTCAATGACCTTGAATGGCCAGAGCTTCACATCACTTTGAACAGAGGCTTCACTGAATCTCCTACCGATTAACCTCTTTGTATCTGCAAATGGATGCCAAGTTCTATCAGATAGCACGAGTTTAAGTAGGTATTTAATATAATAGCTTATTAACCACCACGGTAGGATCTTACTGAGAGTTAAGACAATTTTAACTTCCTCAAGAAATTCTTAAACTACAATTCATGCAAACACATATTAACTGCTCTGGCAGTAAAAATCAAAATCAATCTTTAGATTTGTTGATTCACAATCTAGCTGCTAGATAGCTTAGAAAAAGTGACAATTTCATATATACACTTATGATTATAGTTCTAAGTGAATAAAATTAAAAAGGAGACCGTAAACATGCAGTTTAATCCTACATATGAATATGATACGTACCAAAGATGGAGTTGGCTGTGTTTCTGACGACTTGGTTAAATGCTGCATCACCTACCAAATTAGTCTCATCAGTTTCAGTGAAGGCAACATAAGATGCAGTCTTCCTGTTCCCATGATCGTTCAGAATAACCTCTACATGATCCTTGTGCCACACCGCTACGCGGGAATAGGTTGTTCCCAGATCGATCCCGATTGCGTACTCTTCTTTTTCTTGAGGAGGAGAGGCAGGAGAAGCATATCTAAGTCTTAATGTGCTCTGTGGATCCAGACGCATTTCCTCTTTCAACAATAAGTCGCACAACTCATCCCAACTACTTACTGGACAGTGTTCTATCCTTTTACGAACGGGATTGTACTCCTCTGGTAATCCCACCAGGATGTGTACATGGAGGAGTTCTTGATATTCCACAGGAGCACCGGCGGCTGCGAGATCGGTCGCCACCTGTTTGATTTTTTCCAGATAGTTAGCCATCGGAATGGTGGGATCTTTCTTCACTCTGTGTAGATAAGATTTAAGCTGATAGATGCGAGCATGACAGAGACAGGCGAAGTGTTGCTCAAGATTTAGCCAGACCTTTCGTGAAGAGTCAGCTCCAGCCATGACTATTTGTTGGAGACTACCAGATAGAGTGTCTTTCATCCAATTCATAGCCTGTTGATCTCTGTCGAACCAATCACTGCCGGACCAACTACCAAAGGTAGACTCAAATAGCCCAGGACGAGGCTCTGTTCCATGAATGATTCCGGAAAGACGGTGGTGGTCAAAATATGAAAGAGAGAAAGATTTCCACTGCTGATAGTTATATATATCACTCGTAAGTTTGATTGGAACCGGAAATGGTGGCATGTTCTCTAGGGCCATGGAAGCTCCAGCAGATTGGCTAGAAGCAGAAGTTGATGAGTTGATTGTAGCAGCTTCAGCCGCCTCTCCTTCCAAAGACCAAACGTTTAAAAAAATATACAATCAGAAATTTATCTTCTCTTTTTTTTTTCTTGCTTAGCCAATAAATGGAGAGGAGATAGAGGATGATCAGAAAACTAAAATACTCGCCTTGAGGAAGAATCGGTTAGTACAGATGACAATGGCAAGGGGAAGGTAATGGGAAAAAAATTTAAGGGCGTATATATTAATGCGGGGAGAGAGAATGATCAGAAAATCAAAAGGAAAAAAAAAAAAATAGTGATATTTCCAATGAGTATGAGAAAATTATGATATATTTTTGCTCACCACTTTAACTCAAGGTGTGCTATAACCATTATTCTCAACGCTTGACTTGACATGTTTTTTCGGGCATAACCATAGTTAACTATTTGTTTTGTATTTGTGTAACCATGGTTATACTCATGGACACATGTGAAGTGTTGATAAAGGTGATGACGGTACACTTTTATTAAAATAGTGAGTAAAAATGGCGAGCTACCTAGTGCCTCAATGGAAGGGATTTGAAACCTGTTGGAAGCACTTTATGGTCAGGTGCAAGCCGAACCTCGAGCGGGGATTAATCCCAACCTCCAGTGGGGACACCTTGTGGTATTTACCAAAAAAAAAAAAATTTCCTTTTATTAATTACTGATTTATTTAAGATAGAGAAATATACATATTGGGAATAGTATAGCATTTTAAATCTCTTTCCTTGATTCTCGTATGGTATTAATCACGTATGGTTAAGCTCATACGTGTGTATTAGACTTTTCACTTCCTTCCTCAGTAAGAATTGATTTATTAGACTTTTCGCCTCCTCTCCCAGTATAAATTTTCTTCCACATCTGGTTTCTGCACTTATTTAACTTCCTTGTTAATATTTGACATTCTTTTAGGAGCTTTTGAGCCGAGAAAATTAGTAATGGCAGAAGATAGCCATGCAATTGGGATCGATCTGGGGACAACATATTCGTGTGTGGCAGCGTGGCAGGCTGATCATGTAGAAATCCTGGTGAATGATCAGGGTAACAGAACAACTCGATCTTATGTTACCTTCACTGATAGTAAGAGGTTGGTAGGAGATGAAGCATTTAACCAAGTCGGGAGGTTCCCCGCCAACTCAATCTTCGGTAAAAATAAAATGAAATGATCAATTATAATTAATTTTTTATTTATTTGTTTCCTTATCCTGACATAAGAATCTAAACTGGGAAATGATTTTACAGATGCAAAGCGGTTAATTGGTAGGAGATTTAGTGATGAAACTGTTCAAAATGATATCAAGTGCTGGCCATTCAAGGTCATTGAAGGTCCGGCCGACAAGCCCATGATTGTGGTTAACCACAAGGGTGAAGAGAAACAATTTGCTGCTGAAGACATCTCATCCATGGTTTTGGCAAAGATGCGGGAGACGGCCGAGTCCTACCTTTGCTCAAAGATTTCTGAAAGAAGTGCGGTTATCACTGTCCCCTCTTACTTCAACGACTCACAGCGTCAGGCTACCTTAGATGCTGGCAAACTAGCCGGCTTAAAGGTGTTGCGTATCATCAACGAACCAACTGCTGCAGCCATCGCTTATGGAATCGACAAGAAGGCCGGTTGGTTTAGTAAGAGAAATGTGATGATATTTGATTGGGGCGGCGGTACTTTGGATGTGTCACTACTTACCATAGGCCATGGCGTGTTTGACGTGAAGGCCACTGCCGGAGATACTCACCTTGGCGGTGAAGACTTGGATAACAGAATGGTGAATTACTGCGTGGAAGCATTCAAGACAAAACAGAACGTGGACATTGGTGGAAACGCCAAAGCTCTTAGGAAGGCCAAAACTGCGTGCGAGAAAGCAAAGAAGGCACTTTCATTTTCCTTTGACACTGATATTGAAATCGACTCTTGGTATAAGGGTGAGGATTTTCACACAACTTTCACCCGGGACAAATTCGAAGAACTGAACATGGACATCTTCAACAAGTGCATGGAGCCTGTGAACAAGTGTTTGGAGGATGGCAAAATGGACATAAGCGAGGTCGATGACGTTGTTCTTGTTGGTGGGTCTTCTAGAATCCCCAAGGTTCAAGAGCTATTGCAGGAGGTTTTCAAGGGTAAGGAGTTGTGCAAGAGCATTAATCCCGATGAGGCCGTGGCTTATGGAGCCGCTGTTCAAGCTGCAGCCTTGAGTGGGAACGTAACTGGGAAGCTTCAAGACTTCACTCTCTTGGATGTCACCCCTCTATCACTTGGATTGGAGTGTGAGGAACGAGATAGTTCCAGGTTATACATGAATGTTGTGATTCCAAGAAACTCAAGAATTCCGGTGAGGAAGACAACAAGTGTAACTACTAGTTATGACTACCAAGAGTCTGTTAACTTCTCCATTTATGAGGGCGAAAGTAGCATAGCCAAAAATAATAATTTTTTAGGCGAATTCACCCTCCATGGCATTCCTCCGGCTCCCAAGCATGTTCCCAAGTTCTGTGTTTATTTTGATATGGACGCAAATGGAGTTTTGAGTGCCTCTGCTGAGGATATGTCCACTGGCCAAAAGAAAGGGATCAAAATCAAGCGTGAAAGAACAAAGTAACTCTTAAGGGAATATTGAGAATTAAGATAGCATCCACTATGAAGTAATTATTTAAGGGAAGTCGATGTGAACTTCTTTTTCTTGTGCATTTCGTGATTTGCTGTGTTTTTTTTTTCTTCTCTGGGTTGGGTGTGGGGGAGTGTGCTTGTAAAAGACTTGCTTGATTTCTAGCGCGTACATCTTATAAGTAAAAACGTATTTCTTCCCGCAAACATTCAAGAGAGCTTCAGTTTTTATTGCTGATTAAATTTTTGTGTCTGCTCCTTAAAATCACCAAGTAGATTTGTTATAACGTTGTACACACAAAATTTTGGTACTTATTACATACACAAAAAAATGGTAATGATTTATATATATATATATATATATGTAATATGTATGATGTTTTTGTATTTTTGATTACTTAGAGTATCTACAATGGACTCCCTAAATCACCTCCTTAAACAAATTTTAGGGATGAATTGAAAAAATACAACTCCAACCATACTCCCTATCTACCTCCTAAAATAGGAAGACCTCTAAGAGCTCCTAAATCTGAGAAGAAAAAAAGAAATTCTAGTGATTGAGTTCGAAATCTTGACACCGCTACAGGTATTCGGCAACAGACTAACAAAAGTAGACCAGTCTCTCTCTCTCAAAGACTCTAATTATTGTTGACATTTACCAAGGTAGACTCATAGACTTTAAATACCCTACCTCACCTAATATTTTCATGGAACTTTTTTTGGCCCAATAACATAAAATATGTAATAAAGTTCTGCAAAGCTTGGGTTGTTTTTCTCTGTTGTCTTGGCTGTATCATTGAGTTTGGTGATTCATTTTGATTTGAAAAATCAACACGATTCAAAGCCAAAAAAAGGTGAGGACGAAGTGGATTACCCATTAGCAAAAGTCACTCCCTATATATATTATAAAATTAAAAAAAGCAAAAGTCACAGTGACTAGTACTCGTGTGAAATCATGACCACGGCCATATTCAATAAAAAATTACGAAGGAAAGCGTACGTTGATCACTCTTAAGAAAAAAAATATAATAAAATGAAAGTGTAAGAATTTTACAAGAGCAACTCTTACAGTTCGATTTTGCATATCAAAAACGATTATAATATAAGAGCATTTTTAGGAGAGTTCTCAAAATTTAGTAAAATTTTAGCTAAAATAGTTAGAAAGCTATTATAGCAAACGGATCCGGATTCTCTGCTATGATTTTCTCTGTCATGATCTGCTTTATTTTTAGGCTTAAATGTTAAAATGGTCTCTGTGTTTTACCTATTTGGCTAATTTAGTCCCCGTGTTTTCAATTTGGTCGATTTACTCCTTGTGTTTTATTCCGTTAGTCAATATCGTCCATTCCGTTAAACTGTTGTTTAAAACATTCATAAATGTTATTTAAATTAATTAAAAATATCTAATTATTTAATAAAACATAAATTTCAATTTAAAAATAAAAGACCAGCCACCACATTCCAGGGGGAGTGGCTGGGGGGGGGGGGCTCCTGGGGG